ACAAAACACGTTTAACTTTGATTGAATTGACTAAGTGCGCGAGGTAGGAGTTTCTGGGTTGTCACAAAATCTGAGTCGTAAACGTCTGAAGCGAGGCTGACCGTGAACCGCGGGCTGTACACGTGACCGAACACGCCTGACCGAACACGTGCCTTCGGACCGTAAACCCTCTGACCGCAAATCGTTTCCGGCCATAAACGCTGTGGAAACCCTAGCCGCTGGCCGTACACGCCGCCACCCCCTCGCTGGTTACAACCAAAAACAACGTTTTTTCGACTTTGTAGCTTCAAAACTCGATCAAAAACTCTTTTTATCAAAAACACAAAGAACAAACACCCCTATTTTGCCAAGATCTATCCAAAAACGAAAAAATTCTTCAAAAATAAGGTCAAATACGCTCCAGATCTGACAAAAATGATTGATACAATCCAATCTCTGGTTCCAATTGTAAGGCCCTGAAATCTAGGATCCGAACCAGTGATCAAACAAACAACAATCAAACAAGATTAGAATGGAGTAGAAGAAGATTAAACCAAGATTTACACACGTTCAGGTACAACTTGGACACACACACATTGGACCGTAAACTCTGTGACTCGACAGCAACAACTGACAGACTCTGACAAGCCCTATATAAAGGGGAAAGGCTGGCCGTAAACAGGTTTACGGCCGTAAACCAGTTTATGGCCGCAAACAGACTTTTGGCCGTAAACACATCCAAACAACTCTATTACATGACAAAAGACCCATTAAGACCTATACATCAGATAGCCTAGCCCAAACCATGAAGAATACTTGATGTTCTTGAGGAGAGAGGAGGTTTTTCACCCTTGCTACTTGAGAGAAAATGAGAGTGTTTGCGGTTGAAGTGTGAAAAATGAGAGAAAAGATGAGTGTCTCGCATATATATAGTCCTAGGTTCACGGCCCGAAGTTTCAAGGCCCAAAGGCGGTTTGCGAGGGTTCACGGCCTACGACGGGTTCACAGTCATGAACCGTTTGCGGCCCGAGGTGGTGTCCAGCCAGAATGTTGTTCACGGTCCAAAGGTAAGAAATAATGGTCTTCGGACTTCATTTTTTCACTTCATAAATTATACAACACTCTTATCAAGTGTTTTTGATGTTTCAAATTCAAATATAATAATTTTAACTTTATTAAAATAATAGATCATTAAGTTTGACTTTTATTTGACAGGAATTGATTTGAGTTGACTTTTATTATACTGAAAATAACGGGATGTTACATATATGTTTTGGTAAAAACAATAGTTGAAACAGTTGAAATAATTTAGAATACCATGAAACAGTTTAAAATAGTTTGAAACATTTAAAATCGTTTGAAATCGTTTGGATGTTAACACAAAATTCCTTGTGTTGTACTTGTATTCCCCTCCTAAAACGTTGAAAAATAGTGAAAACTTAGGAGTATGAACTCACCTCGAATGTGCGTTCTTGTTTGGATACGAAGTGGTAGCGATGATCCTCGAGTTAGAACCCGTGTGAGTAGTCGTATCCTAATAATAATTATACACAATATCGTATTTAAATTAATAAAATATTAATTTAAATAATAATCTAAATAATAATTTAAAGGGTTAGACAACACTAAATTTTGTAAGAAATACTTACAAAAAGCCTTAGGAATTATTTGAACGTGATCTTGGTGTCCTTGGGGAAAATATGAATATTTGAAGATATTCTTGGTGTTCTTGAGGAAAACTTGAAGGTTTGAAGGAATTTATGAAGATTTGAATATGGGATGAATGTTCTTCAGGGATTTCGGTTGAAGATTTGAATATTGGATGGTGATCTGGGCAATATCTCTTGAAGATATGAATGTTTTCGGATGAGTTTTGAGAGCAAATTGGAAGCGTTTTCGGCTTAGGAATTGAGAAATGAAGTTGGTTTTCGGTTGAGCATATATATACAAAGGGGTTTGTGGTCCTAATGGGCCTTAACAAAGAGTAGGCAAATGAATAAATGGTTAGTGACATTTTATGTTGTATTTCTTATTTGGTAATAAGTGTAATTTTTCTTGAAAGATGTTTTGCTCAATTGCTAGTATTGGTTTTTTACTAATATAATGCTTTATTTGAAAAATAAGGATACTAAACTATGCATTTGCTGTTATCCTTTAGGATTAATTATGGATATATCTTGGATGTATCTTTCACCTAGATCTAGTGTTTCTTTCATAAATGGAGTGCAATTTTTTTTGAATTTTGCATTTTAGAAATCAAGTGTTGATGCGAAGATATTATGCCCATGTTCACATTGTTTGAATATGTGTTATTCAACAAGAAGAGATATTGTTGATCATATTATATGTTGGGGCTTTCGGCCAAAATACACTAAATGGGTATATCATGGGGAAGGCTCAACTACTACAACTTCAAATACGATGCTGGTGGAGGAAGAAGTAATTTTTCAACATGACATGCATGGATTGTTGAATGACCTTGTTGGCAAAAATGAAGTAGGACCAAGTGAGGATAGCGTGAATAATGGTCAAGAGACAGAGAACATAAGAAGTAGTTTTCATGATATATTTAAGGAAGTTGAAGAAAAGGTTTATCCAAATTCAAAATACAACAAATTATCATGTGTTGTGCATTTATACCATCTGAAGTGCCTTAATGTGTAGAGTAAAAAATATTTTTCTATGTTGCTAGAGTTTTTAACAGATTTTTTACCTGAAGGAAATGTGTTGCCAAAAACAACTCAACAAGTGAAAAAAATGTTGACAAGACTGGGGCTTGGATATCAAAAAATCCATTCATGTCCTAATGATTGCATGTTGTTCTGGGCGGATAAAGAAAAAGATGAAACCTGTTCTATTTGTGGATCTTCTAGATGGAAAGTTCCTAAAGGAAATTCAAATTATGAAATGTGTCCAACAAAGAAAAAGGAATAAAAAATATTACGTTGGTTTCCGTTAAATCCTAGACTTCAGAGATTGTTCATGTCATCAAAGACAACTAGCCTTATGAAGTCGCAGCATTTGGAACGTGTTGACGATGGAAAAATACGACATCATGCAGACGCTTTAGCTTGGAAAGATTTTGATAGGAAGTTTCCCGAATTTGCAAGTGATCCTCACAATGTTCGTTTAGCACTTGCAAGTGATGGTTTCAATCCGTTTAGGACAATGAACACAACACACAGTATATGGCTTGTCATCCTTATTCCTTATAACTTTCCATGGTTAGTTATGAAAAAACCTAATTTCATTCTTTCTTTAATTATACCTGGTCCTCGAAGTCCCGAAAACAAAATAGACGCCTACATGCAACCATTAATCGAAGAATTGAAGGAGTTGTGGGACGTTGGAGTTGATACATTTGATGCATCAACGAAATAAAATTTTCAGTAGAAGGCATCAATTTTTTGTATAATATCTGACATTCATGGTTATGCCAATCTGTCTGGGTGGAGTACCAAGGGAAATGACTAACCAATGGGAAAAAAACATTGGTATATGTGTCATAGGAGATGGCTTCCAGCTGACTATCATTGGCGTAGAGACACTAGATCCTTTGTTGGAAGAGTGGATTTTAGAAAAGCTCCTAGTCCTATTTCTGGTGAGGAGGTTCTCCAACAATTAGATGACTAGGAGTTTATTGTCGACTATGTCGGTCCTTGGAAAAAAAGTATTTTCTTTAAGTTGTCATATTGGAAGCATTTGTTCTTGCGTCACAACCTTGATCCCATACACATACAAACTAATGTTCATGAAAATACTGTGGGCACTGTATTGGGACAACAGTGGAAAACGAAAGTCAACTTAAAAGCACGACTCGATCTACAACTGCTAGGTATAAGAAAAGAATTACATCCAAACAAGCGACCAAGAAGCAATACTACTTACTTGCCAAAAGCATGTTATCAAATGACGGGGACTGAGAAATCTACATTCTTGAAAACCTTTATGTCAATTAAGCCCCCCGATGAATTTTCATCCAACATATCTCGTTGTGTGAAACTTAAAGACAAGAAACTAATTGGCTTAAAAAGTTATGACTGCCATATGTTGATGCAAGATTACCTACTAATTGCATTACGTGGAAGTTTGCCTCATCATGTAGTCTCAATTTTAGTTAAGTTGTGTAATTTTTTTAGGATCATTTGCTATAAAGACCTATCTGAAGTTGATCTCAAATTTCTGAATGACAAAGTCGTTGTCACTTTACGTAAATTGGAAAAGATATTTCCTCGTTCCTTTTTTATAGTGATGATACATTTAGCAATTCACTTAGTAAGAGAGGTTAAGCTTGGAGGTCTTGTTCCCTTTCGTTGGATGTATCCTGTTGAAAGGTAAATGTTTATTTACAGTGATGGTACCTCTAATTTTGTTACTATTTTAAATAATCAATTATTTATAACCATATAGGCCCATTTCAACACTAAAATCCTATGTGCACAATAAGGCTCATCCCGAAGGCTCAATTGTTGAAGGTTTCTTAGCTCAAGAAAGTCTAACATTTTGCTCTAGATATCTCACGGGAGTAGAAACAGTTTTCACTAGAGCACTTACGACTGATGATGAAGGCCACCAAAATGAAATAGAAGAATCTAACGATCTTTGTCCCGGTCGTCCATTGGGGCGTAAAATCCAATCGGGATCTTCATTTCAAAAATGAAGAACCTCAAGTACTATCATACATGAGATGTCACTTGCTCAAGCACATCGTTATGTGCTATTTAATGTCGAATCAATTACACGTTTTTGAGAGTAATATAATGTTCCTTTATGATTTTTAGATACTTCATGTTTGGTCTCTAGCTTACAAAAAAATGCGCTTTGTTTCAAGGGAACACAAAAGGCTAAACAAGGGACAAAACCGGTCTCGTCGAATACCCAAGTATGAGATTGATAAGATTCATTGCCAACAATTTAGTGAGTGGTTTAAAAAATGGGAAAGATGAAAAAAATTGTTGTGTATATTATACCTTGCTACTCTAAAATACTAACGTAAAATAGAAAAAAAATAGGTTGCACGTATGGAAGGACAACGCGGTCAAGCAATCAACAAAGAAATAAAGTGGCTTGCTCGTGGTCCATTGAATAATGTACAACGATATTCAGGTTACCTTGTTAAACGATACCAATTTCACACAATGAAACGTGAGAAATTTTTAAAAACTCAGAATAGTGGAGTAGTTGTAACTGTACATGGTGCAAGTTATGCAAGTAGTCGAAGTCCTATAGAAGGTGTGGTTAACTATTATGGTAAATTGAATCACATTATTGAGTTAAACTACTCTGGTTTCATAAGAGTAGTTTTATTCAAATGTGATTGGGTTGACATCAATAGGGGTTGCAAGAAAGACGATAGTGTAACATTGATGAATTTCTCATACAAGGCTTATACTGGTACTAATTTAATGGATGATCCATTTATTTTGGCATCACAAGCTGACACAGTGTTTTATGGCATTGATCCTAAGCATAAATATTGGGAGGTTGTGAGACATGTAAAAGTGAGAGATTTATTTGGCATGGGAGGAGATGATGCTCAAGTTGTTGGAAATCCGTACAATGACACATTTGACGTACCTAATATGAATAGAATTAGAGATGAGGGTGATGATGGCATGGACGTTACACCAGAAATGGTAGCACAAATGGTAGATCAAGACGTAGATAGCAAAGAATTTGAGGATGACTAGCTAAACTTTATGTCGTACACAATTATTCTTCATTATAGTTGTTTTTGATGTTATGTTAATTTTTCAGTTCTTCATGTTTAATGTGTAACTAATGCATATTTGATGCCAACCTCTTGTTTTGTGATTGTTTGTAAAGTATGTTATTGATTAATTTTGCAATGGTGGTTGATAATTCATATCTACATATAATTTTAATAATTTTATTTTTGTCAATGATAGGATGGGTAAGCATAAAAGACTACATATAATATATACCACTGATGACCATGTTCATGCTTAGTCTTGCGGAGAAGATCAAACTCTCAATCAACAATCTCCTCAAAAAAAATTTCAAGGAGAAGAACAAATTATTGATCAACAGTGTGCTGAAGAAGAAGGTAATTTCTCAACTGATAAAAATAAGATTTTTAGAAATAAACAACAACATGTCTGCTATAAATAAGCATAATGTTTTGAAAATCTTTGAAATTGTGTTCATTTATAGCAGCCTACTTTATAAAATTAAGATTTTTTTAAGATGAAAAGATGATTTCTGGAAAATCCTTGAAATTGTGTTCATTTATAGCAACCCATTTTATAAAATTCAGATTTTTTTTCAGATGTAAAGATGATTTCTGGAAAATCTTTGCAATTGTGTTCATTTATAGCAGCCTACTTTATACAAATCAGATTTTTTTGAAATGTAAAGATGATTTCTGGAAAATCTTTGAAATTGTGTTCATTTCTAGCAGCCTACTTTATACAAATCAGATTTTTAGAGATGTAAAAATGATTCCTGGAAAATCATTGAACTTATGCACATTTATAACAAACTAGTTTATACAAATCAGATTTTTAGAGAGGTAAAAATGATTTCTGGAAAATCTTTGAAATTGTGTTCATTTATAGCAGCCTACTTTATAAAATTCATATTTTTTTGAGATGTAAAGATGATTTCTGGAAAATCTTTGAAGTTATGTTCATTTATAGCAACCTACTTTATAAAGATCAGATTTTTAGGATGTAAAGATGATTTCTCAAAAATCTTGGAAATTATATTCATTTAAAAAAAAATTTAGAATCACATCAAACATACAGATTTGGAATTGGATTGGGCATTGATCAACAAAAAAATTTATTGGATCACAACAAGTGGGTTTTTCAAAGAAAATTTGATCCAATGAATCAAACGATCAAATTTAAAGAACGCAACGCACGATTCAAATATTACGAGAGATCATAGAGAGAGACTCACCAAAATTGTTCCAAATTGCGACAAAAATTGCCAAACCGAGAATCGTTCTTCAAAAATCACCTTGATCTTGAAGACCCGCTCTGATACCAATTGTAGTGACATAAGAACATGGTTTGGCATGCGGAATTAAAGTTTGCACAATAAACATGGTGATTTGGGTGTTCAAGAGATGTATTGAATATGTATGGTGTTACAAAAAGGGACATAGATCTACATCTAAATAAATAACACACACTTACATACTCACTTTTACACCTCTCAAGCACACCTCTACATGTGGTATGAACCCACTATTTATAGAGGTGTTTACATGTCTCTCTCTCACTTTCACTAACTCGTGTGTCACAAGGCTAATACTCCACATGCAAGTGGGTCTACAAGAGTCAAACCATTACAAAGTCATACATGAAGAACTTTGCACCCCAACACAAAGTTCTGATAAGAGTTTCCACAAATGAAAATATATTCCAAAAATGAGTAAATAAGTTTGCATAAACAAAGTTCGTTGTCATCATGAGAGATAAAGTATGTTGCCTAAATGAGATGCAACGTTCATATTCTCATGGGAAATAAAGTCCGTTACTAAAACGAGTAAACAAGTTTCGTTGCTACAATGAGCAAACAAGTTCGTTGTTACAAGGAGCAAACAATTTTATTGCTAAATCAAGTATATAAGTTTCCAATAATAAAAGTTCGTTGCTATAATGAGAAACAAAGTTCGTTGCTAAAATGAGTATATAAGTTTCGTTGCTAAAATGAGTATACATGTTTCGTTACTAAAATACGATATAAGATTCATATGTGCATCAACTTTCCATTCATGAGTTCACAACCCAAGCGTAATGATCATTCTTGCCCCATTCCATCATGTCCATGGTTCCCACGATGTCAGTTCATGGAAATATGCACTCGCGGTTCCGGGCGAGTGAGGGCTGTCGACCCCAAATAGCGCTATCCATAAGACCATCGGCTCGAATATGAGTTAATAGGTTGTATCGGTTCTCCAGAGACTTAATCATACAAGTTCGTAACACCAAATTTATAGTACAAGTTCATAATACAAGGTTCGTACAACAAAGTTCATATCATATAGTTCCTTGCACAAGTTCATAAAATAATGTTCATAGAAATTGTAGCATGCTTTTCACCCCAAAACATTAAAAACGTAAAATAGGGGCTGTGAATACTCACAATATGCAAAATATAGCAACCAAGTTTATACGAGTCAAACAAATACAATGAACATAAATAGTTTAGGACATGCTTTTCCACCCCAAAACATTTAAAAAATCGAAAATAGGGGAGTCGTGAATACTCACAATGCATTGAGATGATGCAAATGATGCATTGATCTAAGTTCCACTTGTACCACTACCGAATCCTACAATAATTGTATACACTAGTGAGTCTCTAGTCGAAATCTAATGCTAATATAATTATTACTACAATAGAATTATGCCAATATTGTGTCTAAATTTAATATTGATAAGTTACAAACATTTTTCTGAAATGGTAAAAATTTATAACTCGTGTGATTAAGACAATTTTTGGATATTAATTTCCAGATTTTTATAATATTAATTGAGGATATTTCAACACATTTAAAGGTGTTTTAAGCTCGTAAATATCCAAAATATTATCAAACAGTTTCCAAAAATTGTCAAACTTTGTATTTTCATTCCAAATACAGTATAGGTCTTCTAGAAATTTTCCCTTCAATTTTTGATGTGATTAACTATTTTTTCAAAATTTTAAGCCTTCATAACAATATAAATTCGTCAAAAATAGTATCCAGATGATAAAAATTCTCAAACTTTTTATAATACTGTCATTAAACATACTTAAGCTGGGAAAAATCTAAAAATGGATTTCTGAACTGTCTAACCCATTTTTATGATTCTTGTGTATTTATTTTAATAAAAATTTTAATAAATATAAAACAGTTTACAAAATTTCTCAAACTTTTTGTAACACTGTTATTATACATATAGAAGCTGTGAAAAATATAAATTATATTTTTTAAGTAGTTTTGCTATTTTTCTTTGTTTTATGCTCTTGAATAATCATTAAATGGTGAATAATTACCAAATTGTTAAAGTAAATTACCAAAATTTTTGTAAACTCCATCTACAGTGTAAATAATCTAGGAAAAATACAAAAGGTGGTTTTTATCTACTGGAATCCGATTTTGTGGATTTAAGTGTATTTAATCTTAGAAAATAGGAGAAAAATAGTATACTGAATAGAAAAATCATCAAAAATTTTACTTAGAGTTCTAATATAGTTTAAGGTCTTCTGGTAAATTTTCATGAATTGTGGATGAGTACAATTATTTTTCCCGTTATTAGTCCATTATAAATATAAAAATCGGGCAAAAATAGGAATTCATTATAAAAAATTCTGCAAATATTTTTCTAAGTACTCCACAGTAGGTAGGATCTGCGAAAAATCGTATATAGCATTTTCACATTAGTTAAAGTGGTTTTATGATTTATTATAAGTAAACAGAAAGAAAATTCAAAACCATAGCAAACAGTAACAAAAATCGATGAAACTCACTGAAATGTCATTATTCACTTTAGGGTCATCCACCAATTTACCTAGGATTTATAGACCTCCGAAAGTATTTTATATGAATTATTGCCCTATTTTCTTGCACTAATTATAATAATTCGAGCAAACTGAATTATTTTCTAAACATTTGTAGAACATCTCATTTTGTTGATGGAACTCTGGGAAAAATCGGATTTGATCAGAAAATAAGTTTTAGATATTTATTTGGGAATAAATCCTTTATGAACCCATTTGAATGCTTTTTAACAACAAACTTTGATGATCAAACCTCTAAGCTTGAAGATCATCACATGCATGTTGATTTTTGGGTGAAATAATATCACCATAATCATAAAAATCGTGGTTATGAACATGCATGTGAAGAATCTCAAAGAAAAGTGTTTATGGAGAAGAAGAAATAGTAAAACTTGAAGGAATAGTGAAGTAGAAATCGATTTTACCTTCAAGAACACCACAATATGATGAAGATTTCAAGTTTGAGGAGTTTTCTTGGGTTTGTTTTCTGGAAAATTTTGTGGTTCTTATGGGGAGGAAGAGAGAAATGTGTGTGAGAGTGTGAGAGAGAAATGAAGTGTGGAGAAAAGGAGAAATGATTTATAATTTTGGGGAAATAGAGTATTAGGGTTTTCAAGTAAGAGAGAGAGGAGAGAGGTCCAAAATTTTTGTGGTATAATACCCTCTTTCTCTTTTACTTTTATAAAAAATTCCATTCTTTTATAAATTATTAAAATTTTTATAAAATATACACCCTAACCTACTTTTTATTCATGAAACCTTGATTTTTGACTTTTAAATTAAGGGTGAATGTTAACGACTTAAAATTTTATTTTCCTTGATTTCATTTTTCCTGAATTTAGTTATATTAAATTGATATTATGTGGTTCATAACAAATTTTATGGAATTTTGGGTGTTAAAATTTATAAATTTGAGTTTTTAGGGCTTTTTAGGGTTTTGAGGAGTTTGTAAATCTTTAGATATCAAAATTAATTAAATTTTGAGACTTCAAACTATTTTAGAGTTTCATAACTCTTATTCAAGTTAGAAATAATGTTTGTAATTTATTTTTATTGGTTTATTGGCATTCTATGTAGTGATTCCGAGATTCAAGTGAAATGGAGGAACCAAATATACTAGTCATAGTTTTCAACTTTAACTTAAGTTCCTACGAGACCCGAACCTAATTTCTACTAC